AGAAAAAATACTTCATATGCTACTAAGTGTGAATCAAAAACTATATACTTGGAATTAATACAAAAATTTGAGAAAATTCAAACAAAAATATTGAATTTCCAACATAATATCCTTCTAATTAAATGCGTTTAGAAAAAACCGCTTCTTTAACTTTCTTATTTATTAATAAAAAAAACACATAATTTCTTGACACTAGAAAAACTCATTTACGGCAGCCATAACTGCGCTCACCACCCACACATTTACTTCCACGGATAAGTTACTTTACATTTGAGAATAACTGAAAATCACTTCTAAATCCCGCAAATATGGTGGGTGGTGAAGGTAACCCGGCCAGTACTGCGGAATGCCTTGAGTGCAACTTTCGATCGCTGAGCAGGAGCATTATCGCGAAGAAACAACAAAACAAACTCAAAGACAGTTTTCCATGACTTTATGTATATATTTTGTGTATCCTTTCGGCATGTAATCAGTAAAAAGTATTCCTTCACTGTCCCAGAACACTAAATCCATAACTTTGCCAGCGGTAACACTCCACTGCTGGACATAGGCCTCTCCGATTGTCATCAACATCATCAACAGCCTTTAATACATGCAGCATAGGACATGCTGGACAGCGATAGGCGATTTCGATATTCGGCTTACAAACTATCCATCGCATTTTGTTTTAAAACAACGTTGGTAAACATTCGTGGCACCCATCTTGCAGACACTTCTCTGAATCCTAGTGGATCTGTTAAAATGGATTGAATGCTACCAAATAAAATAATTAGGATCTCAGCCAAATGTTTTATATTTATTCTTCTGTCGCCCAAAATCAAATACTCGACCTATTTAACGTTTGCTGGAGTAATGAAGGTTGAAATCTGCTCAGAACGCGGATCATCTTCACATCTCAATCTACCTCTTTTGAATTCATCAACCCAGTAAACTACTGTAGAATAAGATAAAGCGCTATCGCCTAGTGTCTGCTGAAAGTCTACGAAAATCCATCGGACCATCCATAGTGGACATTTTTTTCAGGCACGGACACTTTATCACTGCAGGAAACTCGTTTTTCTCCATATATTTATGCTTTTAACAACTCTTTATACGAAATTATTTATTACTCCCAAACTTTATGACGAAATGAATTAAATCTTTGCATAAATATTATGTGACTCTTTAAAATAAATATCAATCTACCCGTCTTTTAGATTCATCCTCGTATTTTTAAACATTTATTTGAAAGAATGTCACTATTAAAATCAGTACTAATAGTACGCATAATATGTAAGCTGATAAATAGTGTGGCCCTAGATAATGAAGCCGATAGACATAATCGTACCGATTTATGAACAACAAAACATTTTAAGGCTAATTGCGACGACAAATCGCCTATTTAACGATAATAGCCGCATCTAAATCTGTAGAAAAAAAACAACAATATAACGAGTTCGAACACACCTTAATTAGGATCGGAAGTCTCGAATGCTTTTTAATGTTTGACTAATTTGTTTGTTCATGTGTGCGTTAGTATGACGCAACGAGAAAGTATTGCGATAACATCACAACAACTGCTAGAACAGAAGCTTATTAGGATTTTACTTGGTTTTTAAATTAAACTAATTGGTAACAGTAAAGGTAAAGAGACATATACTTAGTTAACTTTTAGAATTAAATATTTTAAAATTTTACAGTTGCAACATGAAATATATTGAAAATTTTAATCTAAGCATATTTGAAGTTTTACAACACCGATACTGAATTTACAATTCAATGACTTAATATGTAATGATATATATATATATATATAATTCTTACTTGACTTAGTATATATATAGTAGTCAATGTGACGTACTTGACATACGAAGTCTTACATTACGTTAATAATACATTTATTAAAATAAAATAAAAACATAATTATTTTATATTAAACTCTTTATATTAAAAAGACTCTGATGCATATGATTATTGATACGTGAATTAGTTAGCCTAAAAACTGCTCTCGCATAAACACTAGTAAGAATAAACTCAAAACAACATACATTTCCTACTTCTATAATTTAAAAATGAAACTCGTAAATTTCCTAGTCCTCTATTGTAACTTATGTTAGCTATGGTCAATAATACTGGTACAAAGTAAATATACATCTTGTCTTTTACACAGCTTAAAATAAACACTGCAGAAAAAAGTTTAAAAGCTCATTCGTTTTCCAATTTCAAGTGTATAAAACATTCGTTCCCTGATAAACGTATCGAAGGCATCCACTAGATAAGACGTCTAGACGAAATAAATATTCGAAACACTCGAAATTCGAATACCGGCACGATGGCTCACTTGGCTAATCGTTTAGTAAAAAAATATAAGTAACTTTTTTTAGAACGCACCCATAACCTACTACCACTTTAAAAGGTTTACAGCGAATCTAATAGGATACATGCATTTGGAAACGCTTACTGATTACCAAACCACTGGGTGTGGTTTGGTAATCTGTGGTATGTTGTTTACATTTTTAAACATTCTACAAATGAATATTTATCCAATCATTTGCAATAATTATATGTTTAGCCTTCCACGTATTTTTGTTGCCTAATATAATATAACCATGTGCAAACATCATTGACAGTAAATGAATGATCTATCTCTTTCGACAGATGTCAAAATGCTCATTATTATTGATTGTTTCGTAATCGAATAGTAGAAAAAGTTTTTTAGAGCTTTATAGGGGTTATCGAGGCGTTGCTGTTAATCGGAGAATTGCCTATTTCTAACTCAAACTAATTTTATACAAGCGAATGTGAGTTCTTTATTTGCTATAATTATAAAATTACTCAAGTTAATAACGTATCATTGAAATTTTGCAAATATATACTTTGTCAGGGATATTGAACGAAGGGTATTTTACATCCAAGAAAATAATTTTCTAAAATTGATTTTTAGGGTTCCGTACAACAAAAAGAAAAAAACGGAACCCTTACAGGATCACTTTTTGTCCGTCCGTCGAAGCGCGTGGAGGTCTCGATTTGAAATTAAAACAATATACTCATGTTTATAGTCTCTTAAAGCTGTAAAAAATCAAACTTAACGTTAACGTAAAAAAGAATACGGCCGTTTATACTGCAAAAAAACGTATATATCGACACTGTCAAGGGAATCAAAATTTATGGGGTATTTTCCGTTGACCTAGAACTATTAAATTTTGCAAGTAATTAAAGTATAGGGAGAAATCTGAAAACTATACATTTGTAGTTATATCATAAAAAAAAGGTCTTTATGTAAAGAACGGCGGTCCAAACTTTGAATTGATTTTGAAAACCGTGTCATGTGGGGTATCGTATAAAAGGGCTTCATTGGCACAAGCTTAAACAGATTTGGAATTATTTTATAATGTATAGTTTTCGATTACAAATTTGTACGGAACCCTCGATGGGTGTGTCTGACTTGCACTTGTCCGGTTTTTTAAATTGATTAACACTACATTCTGGGGGCAACGCGGGCAAAAACTTATAGGCTGAAAAATACATATATTAAGAAATACTTGGTTCTTTAATCCTATTCCTTCACAAGCAGTTAGATCGCTGTACAAATATTGAACAAATATTGTACTCATATTGAATTTAATGTCTTTGCATAACAACTATATACACGTCTATACTGTGTTTAGCAATACTTTTATGTATAGATCGGTAAAACAGAAACATCAAAAGTTCCGATTATACCTCCTATTTTCATACATATAATAATATCAACCCATTTTAAACAAAAACCGCTCGAGGCAGTTATATCTTATAGTCAAGGCAGTTATAACAAAGAAACATGTTTCAGCATTGGGTTTTAAAACCAGAAGTCCTTTCCGTATTTGCTAAATGCATCCACAACGGCAAAAGGTTTGTGCCTATTTCACATAACACACACATAAGTAGTATTTAATTGTATTCGTTCAAATGATAAGTTTTGGGTACGTGACACTCTTACAAATTTCTCGCAACCACCAACTTAACAACAAGTTGATTGATGAAGGATACCTATTAATGGATACCGCTATTTTTGTGTGTTTGGTACCATATATGATCTTTATTGCTATTAACTTTAATTATTTGGTTTGCTTCTTTAAGAAAATTCATAACCAACCGTGGCTGTTGCGAAATAAAAAATAAATGTAAGTATGCCAACCCATTCATACATGAATACAATGTAAAAGCCTTTAAAATTACTACATGAACGCACTATCAGAGTAAGCAACACAGTAGTGACTAATAAAAGGACGGAACAACAATAATTCGCGGCAATGATTTAGGGTCGGAAAACAACGTAGTTTCTAAAATGGCCGCCGTTTATGAACTTGCATACTTTCAGCTGTTTAATTTCAAACCTTAATCTATAGTGCTTAAGGTAAAAACTTCTTGTTAGTACATTTTTTGCACGAATAACTGTTAATTCAACGACAACGCCCTAAAGAGGGCGCGATAATCATACCATTAGGAAATGTATAAATGTTTATACAGAGTGAAGGTAAAGCAAAAGGAACGTAGTAATTTAAGTGCAAGAACTAAATTACATAAATGTAGAAATGTGGCAGCTTTTTTCTTTATTGTTACCTACACAAGTAGTTACTTTTTAACAGGAGAAAATGGATACGTATTAAATGTCATTGAGCAGTTATATTGGTATCTTTGTTAGTAATACCATTTTGGACTGTTAATAATACAAGCAGCAGGTATGTATGTACTCGTGAGTATAACTACAGTACACACGCAGAGTCCTGAATTAAATAACCAAAGAAACTGTCCCAAATTGCAGTCCTGTGACTTCATTATTACTACTTGAGTTTATGGAGAAAGGGCTTGTATGTCTCACTAAAACAAAAGCGAGATTGTCATACCTGCTGTACATGAGCTGTTGTATGTACATATGTACGAGCCTTATAATGTTAATATCACCACAAATTGTTAACCAATGGTTAAATTGACCTATCTCTGTATTCCTATAATTTACTGCTCTGGTACCCCGCTAGCGGTTATGTTGGAGTAGAAGCCATTAAATTTACCAAATGTCCTCTTACACGCACTAGTTCAGCATGCAGCAGCTGATTCTAGAATATTATTGGAAACTATTGAGAGTAAACCCTGCCACCCGCGTCAAAACAGGGGCGAGCGACACTTCTTATTAAGCGGTTGACACGAAAATGTCTCGTCAGACCCTATATTCATGTAATCCATATCTTTTTTCCTAGTAATCATTTATCTTTTTAACAACTAGCTAACTAACAAGCCTGCTACAAAAAATTACGTATGTGTTCATTGATCAAGATAGCTTGCTATTAGAAAATGAATGAGCTATGAATGAATTGAGCATATTTACTGAACGCTTCGTCCAGTTAGAGTACACTTTGTCAAATATTGCATTGAAATGACAAATTCGTCACTCTATGTGTCAACAATTTGACAAACTTTATACCAAAAGTGGAAAAATCAAATAAGAAAGTGATAACAGAAACTTGCGATATCAACATGATAACGTATGCTACTTTTATAATTATATGCTAGGCAAACGTCAACAAATACACACTGACACTGGCTCTTCAAGACGTAAGTAGTTTATAGTATTTTTTTGTTTTGAAAATAAATATTTGAAGAAAATATACTTTTGGGCCGAGCTTTTGTATTAAATAGGTACTTAATTCTATCAGCCCCTTCAAAAAATCTAGGATCACCTAACTACTATATCGCGTATTATATTCTACATAACGATTTTTCACTATTGTCATCATAGTTAGTCTGAAAACTATCAATAGAAAACAAACATGTAAAGAAGGCGACGATGCAGAGTTTCTTTAAGGTTGTAAGAAAAAAAATTAATCATATTACCCTATTTATTTTTAATGCATTTTTATTTTTATTTTACTAATACCACACTAAATTAATGCAGGCTTAAGTTTGTAAGTGCGTGTTGTATGTTTCTTACTTCTTCACGCTCAAACGGCTAGACCAATTTTGATAAAATTTAGTATGCAGGTAGCTGACACCCTGGATTGTGTTAATCCAAGGTGTCAGCTACCTCCACATGCTTTTTACACCGAAAACCAAGGAATTGAAATATATTTGATAAATCGCGAGTAAACACGCGGGGCGTAGCTAGTAATTTATAACACGGAAAGTATTAGTACCTAACAGCCAGCGAACACAACTAATTGTGCACCGCATTCATCACGGGTATAAAATTGTACGTTAATCAAAAAACTAGAACAATAAAATATTAAATAAGGAGCGTTAACATCGGAATCGCACAAAGCAACCGTGACAGTTGCAACTGGACCGAACCACAGAAGAAATACTTGAGTGAACGACAAACGCACCGCGTCGCCCCTGTGGCGTGCGATTATCGCTGAGCGATTTATCGCAAGCTTTTGTTTCTGTTGTTGTAGAAAAATAAGCCTTTTTCAAATCGTATCAAGGATTCATTTATAAATAAAAAGGTGTATTCTTTGGTATAAATAACATACACCTAATAACTTGGGTGATTGGGTTTTTTTGTAATATATAAAACCAATTTGGATAAAAAGCCAGGAACTCGGTCCAAAATTGACAAAAATATAGTATAACATTAAACAAACGAAATGAGAACCTGCTCCTATTAGAAGTGATAAAATAAAAGTGTTTCAGACACTGAGCTTATAGGGACGACTTATATTTACTAAACACGGTCATTACGATTCAACCGCCTCAAGAAGTACTAAAAACTTTATAAGACCACATTCACAAGTACAATAATGTAACCATTAATTCCACTCGATCGTAATTTAATTCACGTACAATATTACATTCATCAATTACGATGTTCTACAATGTAAGGAACTGAATATCGCAGCTCGTGTCACAAAGGAAGAATATGTTAAAACCTAATAAATACCAATAATAAACTACAGTTCCTACGAAATATATCGCTACATCAACATTAACACTTCAACTTTGTTGCTTTGTGAGTCAACTTTACTTGTCGCTCATTGTTTGGAGTCGGTATTGTGTCGCGAGTTGTAAGAAGGAGTAATTGCTTCAACATTTAGGGTCTAGTTACAAAAACCCCATGGTTCTGCATCCTATATGTTGTACCCAGAATTAGCATAAATAGTTTGTGAGAGGTATTCATATGTGTACGCATTGTCTATGTTTATCTTCAAAGACACTTGTATTTTTATTACTATTAAATATATCACATTTTTTAAAATATATTTAGGTCAGTCGTAATTGCGCATATAAATACCAGTAGATACATATATTGTAAGTTAACCCATTTCAACTGTCACAAAAGTGAAAACATTAAAATGTTACATCTAATAGTTAGCCGTATGGTCATTTAAAAAAAAGAAAAAAGAAATATAAAAAGCCACGCCAACAATGTTTCGTTGCGTATTTTTAGATATTTTTCTAGTCGTAATTTTGGGAAATGTCTGTGTCCAGCACCGAACATATTTTGACTGAAAATGAAAAAATTGATGATGATTTATTTAAAAGATGTTCGGCCTACTCAATAATTGAATTATTTTTAAGTCGTTATGTTTCGAATACCTAAATGAAATTACACCGGTAAAAAAAAATTGATGACTGAACTGAGCTGTTTAGAGAAGTATTTTTCGTTTTATTTGTCATGACTTAAAAATTGAAGTCCGTTACACTGAAAGAAAGACAGTGTAGATCAAAATGATATATTAACTGTACCGCATACACAAATATCAAATTAACTGTTTTTATCACTTAAATACAAACCATAAATACAACAAGTACAATACCATAACTTTTATAACGAAACGGGCAAAGGTATCAATTTGTCCTTTCAGTGTTTTCTTGTTAAGGCGTTGAGCACGCGAGCGAGCTGAGATAAAAGCGGTTCCATCGTTAATATGTTGTGATGCCACATGTAAGCGATACGTGCCTCTATACACGGCTCTCTATACTATAATGAAATAATTAAACCACCCTCCTTATTATGTAAAACTATGGACGTCGGCTTTGAATACCATGGCTATATTCATTAATTACTAAAACAGTGAAAGTTTAACAATATAGATACATTAGTAAGCGAATGTAATGAATTATAGTCTTTTTTACTATCTTAGTTACTAGTTTAAGAATTATAGCTTAAGGCCAAAAACTATCGTGTAAGTTCTGTATAGTTTCACCAACGTTCTTGTCACAGCTCTGGTCTTCAGCATTCGTTTTAGGTACCAAAAACAATGTAAGATAACATAAATTTACTTATTTTTTTTTTGTTGATCACCATCGTTGATTTAATCTATCAGTTTCAAATTTCATCTATGTTCGTTCAGCCGTTCTATCGTAATTGATATTAACATTCATCCATACTTTAACCTTTATAATTGTAGTCAGATACCCCTCTCACAAAGCTAGGAGACGAGAAATAAGTGAGGTATCCACAAAATGCATACGAGTAAAATCGTATATTTTTAATAAAGACGTGAGACGTCCAAAAAGAAAACGAAAATCACATAATGGCTGAACTTCACTTCAGAGTTTTCATATTGTCTATACCAATCACACCGTGTGTGGGATATTACAAGTTCATCCCTAAGCGACCCGTAACACAGGTCTATACCTATCTCGGGCACCAGTCTCTCACAAATGTAGTTTGTTCTAAAAAAAAAGAGTTGATAAATCAAGAAATAAATAATTACCGTGAATGAAATTATGCTTAACTTTTTTAACTAATAATTATAAAAATACAATAGTTATGATACATTACATATAACGTCATTATAGAATACGCGAAGAAATTTTGCCGTGAGTATAAGTCTTTACCTTGTATTATGTAAAATGTGTATAACGCGCCTACTGTTAATCGCCAGAGTATAATACAGACGTGATCAACGAGGGAAGATAATTTTATACCTTTCTTCTCTTTAATAGAACACTTAACAGCTTGTGAAGTAAGGTCGTGATGTAAAAATAATATAACAATACACGCAGTAAAATGAGCACTCGCCCTTGTTAAAATTCTTTAACACCCCGCATGAAAAAATAGAATGCTTACAATGGAAGGTTATTTGGAACAGAAGGAGTTAATAACTCTTGAAAGTTTATCATATTATGCGTAAACTCATCACAGCTTTCGGCTTTATGACAACGATAAAACAGCATTTCAAAAAACACCTAAATACTGAGTAAGTAATTACGGGTTTTCATCAAGTTAACGGTCCTACTCTGTTTTTCCGTTTAAACTTTCCAATATTCCACTGTTTGAGGTGTATATTTTATATTTATTTCTCTTCTTAGTTTAAAGTAAAGTTTTCAGTTTAATAACCTAATGAATATGTCAAATATGAGCTGACTGAAAAGTTATTATCATACACAGTTTCGTAATTTTAACCCTTTAAAACCTGAATTATTTTTCTACAATTAAGTGCAATCGTTTTAAATTACAAATTTAAAACGATTGCACTCATAGCAGATAGCATTTACCTGCGGCCTAAGTAGCCTATATCCTCAAGAATCAAACTATCGAAATACATGCGGGCAGAGCCACGGGCAAAATCTAGTTCAATCATAATTAAACCAGTGGTAAAGCGTACTCTTAAAAAAATCGAAACAAAAACTTTTGATCTCAACTATTTTCTGATAAATTACAATAAACTTATAAATATTAGTAATCTGCTACCAACCCTCACTTCTGATTATTATTTATCTGGGGGCTGGAATGACCCTTCTCTTGTTATGACAACCCTTTGCAAAACCAATGAAATATGTAACAAAGAGAACGGGTTAGACCGGCCATTATATAGCGATTGAGAGGCCATTTTATTGGACACACAGACACGTAATGTGTAGCCAGTCTGAATAATTCAGTAAGGCAGGGAGGGTTGCCGCGATTTTCTTGGATTGTACCAGCAATAGGGTAAACGCTTATGGTGATTTATTATGCAGAACCACGATTTAGATGTTATGTAAATCGTTTATTGATTTTACCCTATGGATACCGTATGAAATTATATTTAGAAACTGCCTGTTGAACAGCCTTAAAACAACTTAAAGCATTAACACAGAGACAGTATATATAAGAATCTACTCCATTCATCTTAAATTCTATATCTACAAGAAAAACGACCTTACCTGACGGACCTGCTTATACTGTTCTTCGAAGCTCCATCCAGCTGCAGACCCCTCCGATGAAGACGATGAAGCTGAACCGGCAGGCTGGGCTGGTGGAGGTGGTGCGGGTGCTAGAAAGGCTGGAGGTGCATAAGGAAAACCTCCTGTAGAACCTGAGCCTGCCAATGAGAAGACGCTGTTTGTCGTGGATAAAGGTGCACCTTGAGCCAATGACGCCAGTGATGAGAGGTGGGGGTGCAATGAAGATTTCAAAGCTTCGAAGTCATCGCGCACCTGTTAAGAAAATTATGTAATTAGTTGCTTGCTCGCTTCTTACTTTTAGAAATCTCTTAAGTGAGAGTAAGATTTGTTTTGAACAAAAGACAACAATAACATTGACCTAAGTACTCGTCTACACTACACTAGCCTACACTAGCCACAATCCCATCATATTTTTTTAACTAGGACGTCCTATATACATCCTATATAACCTATACGCCTTTCATACAATAACCACTCAACATCAATACTCCGTGTAAGTTATTTACCACATCTAAGAAATGTTTATATAATCATGAAACTTTTGGGTAAAAGTTTATCAATTGATTACCAATTAGAGAAATAGTATTTAGCATTGCCAGTGTAAGTTTTACTATTATGAATTAACCGAATTTAAATCGATGTACTTTTTATATTCGCTTAAAGCACTTACTTTTAGTTCCCTCTCAAGAGGTCTCGGTGAGTTCCTTTGATGCGAATGTGTTACAGATATATTGTTTATTTGTTGGTGAGAGACGGCAGCATGGTGGTTCATACTGTTAATAGGTTGATGGGACTGCGTAGTTTGATGGGACTGATGAATTTGTAGAGCTTGATGCGATTGCAAGGACTGATGTGTTTGCATTGGCTGATGGGTCTGATGTTGTTGGTGGGGTTGATGTGTTGCAGGAGCATCCCGCCCTACACCTTCGTCGGAACTCTCACAAGACTGATCCCCAGAAGATTCGCCTTCGGACCGTGCAGACTGTAACAAAGAAAATAGAATTTTAGTAATAGTCACTGTCATTGTCTTCAAAGTTAAATACACATATTAAAACGCCTACATTTTCCCGACTAGAATTTTTAGTCCTCCTTATGCCTTTCTAGTTTTTTTGACCTAATGTTATCTAAGAGGACTCTTTAGGCAATCGTCTTTATTCTCTACTAGGCCTGCTTTTAATTTTAAATGAATTTCAGAAATACGTGAGAGGTTACAACTAGAAGTTCCCCACAATAGCCAGTTTTAGTTATAGATACGTGACCTTCTCAAACTTGCTTACGCTTCTAAAGCTATCTGTGTAATTTTCTTCTACCAACCTGTTCTTTTTAATATACTCTGAATTTTTACTTGACTGCACGGATGGCTTAATGGATTAAGCGGTCACCTCGCAGCTTCCTACTTCGTTAAGTATTGTGGGTTCGATCCCCACAAGGGACAACACTTTGTGTGATCCACAAACTGATCTGAGTCTAGGTGTTCTGTGTGTCCATTTCATGTATGTTTGTAAAGACCCCGCGACACAGGATATATTCCTAGTGCGCGAGTTGTCTTTAAAAAAAGAACAAATATAGAATTTTTCCCAAATTTTACTATCAAAGTGCGGGTTGGCGGGTATACTTTTATACCTTATTATATGAATAAGACCAAGTATAGCTGTCAATATGAATATTTAATATACCATATACACAAGCATGAATATATGTAAATAATGTATATATATAAATGCTCGTATAAAAATACTTTATTTGTTATATTGTTTAGCGTTCCGGGTATGAGAAGGCAAAATTTATAGGTTCAATATGTCATATAAGTACTAACGTTATTTTTGTATTTATTAGAAGTCAAAGACGAAATCTTACAGCTGTGTGTTAAATTTATCGAATTAACGCTAGTGGATTTTTAAAATAATATATATATTAAAAATATTTTCAATATAAAACCAACTTGGAAATATATCGTTATTATAATTACAGCTTGGTTTCATCCATGAATTATTTCTGAGCGGCAGGTGGACGGGGACTGATCAGCACAACCAATAATTATTTATAAATGTCGTGAGGCGTCAAATATGCACTTGAACGTGAAAAGTAATACGTAGGATAATAATATTAAATATGTTATTACTATACAGTAAGTGCAACTAAATCGACATTTAGTTGCTCTTCGGGGTATCGAGAACACCTACTTACAACCTCTACCGCTACTACTAAATACCTAGTATAGACTAGTAGATAGGTACATAAGCGAAGGAGTTTTGGAACACAAGTGTCAAATGAATCCTTTAAAAAAAAGGTTGAATCGACTTCAAACAATACTGACGAAGAGCACCAAAAATTAATATAACCTTTAAGTAACTTTTTTTTAAAGGTTTTATTTTTCAATTTTTAGTGTAAGATATGTTTGTAATGAATATGTAATGTAGTAATGTATAGTACCAAACTGTAGTGTGTAAGGTTATATTAAATATAGTTTAATAAGTCCGTTACTTTATTTAGATAAGGTAGTAAGATGTTATATTCGAACCCGAAAATATGTTGTTTTCTACATTACTTAATTTGCCAAAACTAGGAGTAGTATATTTTCACATTTCATTTACACATTTGAATGGAACTAAACAATTTAAATAAATATTCTATATATTCTTCCAAATAAAAAAAGATATTTCATAAACGGTTTACAAATGAAAGAGTTTTGTAACAAACATGGTAACAAACATGAAAATAATTGCGTAACAAACTTTTTAGTCTAAATGTTTTGTAATCTCATATATTACTCTTTTATACACATATCTCTGTAACCCAACATAAACACCTAACAAATATCTAGAAAGAAAAAAACAAGGTCAATCCATGATTAGATTTTTGAAAGAGTTATCCTTTAACTCCTGTTGGATGATGGAAGGGGCCTTGACCCTTCCATCAGCAACATGACATGACGACTACTAAACGCAAAAACCTTTATAGCTAGCGAAAAACCGTTATAAGCTAAAACACGTTGTCGGAGCTGCATAATTTGAGGGTTTCAAGTATAATATACTTTAAGATACAATATAAATCCTTTAAAAAAAAGTTAAATCGATTTCAAGCAATACTAACAAAGAGCACTAAAAAACTAGCAGCAATCGCGGTTCATTTGCTGTAATTTTTTAAAACTCTGCATCAGTTTTATATAAAATTTTAATGAAACCATTTCGGGGAAAACCCTTTTCACACAAAAGAAGAATTTTACAAATCCTATATGAAGTAAAAATACACTGTTTATAATATGATTAATTCCTTAGAACAAACTGACTTCTCAGATACTCACTGTTTCGACCAAGTCTAAACGTTAGAAATTATGGATTGTTGAAAAATCTCGTTGAAAAAAGTATTAAAACTTATCAAACATGCAGCAATATCGAAATGTTTGGGGAGTATATATTAATTTTAAAAGTTTAATAGTAACAGTTCAAATAATTTCAAGGTTAAGAAATGATTTGAAGAAAACCGATGACATTATCGACCCCTAAGTTAGTAGTATTAATGTAGTAATTGTCATAATATTTATGTAATGGATTGTAGGTATATTGATACATTCGAATCTCCCTTTAACTCTGACAAAAAGCAAACTTCCAGACAAAAATCTAGACAGTCTAGATATATCATCCTCAATGCGTCAGTACCTGACAATAAAGTTCCATAGATTTGGATTTATAAAATAAGACGCTCTCTGTAACAGCCCGCATCATCACCGACCTGTGATCCTTAAAATCATCACCTGATCTCTTTGTAGGTGAACATCGTACGTCGCGCTTTTTAGACCGTGGTCACTACTCTAGAACATATCGACCCAACTGTTGCAAGTGTTATGAGGCCTATCCACTGGCACTTTAACTTGCTCATCCGTTGGGCTGCGTCAATAATTTTCGTTTTTAACTAAACTCATAGAATTATGATCTGAAGGCGAAGACTATACAATCAGAACAGAAAGGAAAACTGTTACTAGTTTCAACATTGTATTGTCTATAATTAATACAAACTATGAAGTATTAACCTTCGAATCACATTTAATCTGCAATTGTTTACTTGCAGCTACAAGCATTTAATAAACAGAATTCATATTATTTCCGTTGCTCGATTGCCGGAGGAGTGAATTTGTACAATTATTGTTTATATTCATAACGATATCGGAGTACAACATATGGTAACCACAATAGGATGCCTAGGGCTTATAACATTTGCTGAAACTTTTATTACCATCATAAACAATTTAATAAAACGTAACTCATGGTTTTTTATAGTAAATGGGTTTATATCAAAGAGACTAAGACGAGTAGGCATCAATAGGTGATAAAGGCTCTTTGCCGTTAGGACTGTAACAATCAAAATATAAATATTCTATTCTATTCTATTCGGTCGGTCGACCGAAATTTGAGCTAATGAAACTCGAAATCAAATCTCAACTTATTCATTGCGAGTACATTGATCTGAATACAATTATTTGCCTATCATTTAGCTGCCGAAGCAATATGAGAGTAGTTGACATATATTTACGTTGTTTCCTACAATTTATCGCCTACGCAGAATCTGCTGCACTTACAGTAAAACTAAACTGAAAAACTAAACCTTTACTGCTAATCTTTAGCTGTGAGACACCTTTCAAAATCAATTGTTTAGCGTTCTATGGCTAAAATAATTGTGACAATTGAGTACATTTCTTTGTATGGTAGAAGATCCCGCAGTTTATAGTCATTGTAAAGGTCTTCAATGTTGTAATATGATGTTAAGATACTTAAAGCCTTCTTCAATAAATACTTTATTAGTTGAAAGAAGAATCTACCGACTGTGAAAGGTGTCTTACAAATTAGCAAGTTAAAGCCAACTGACAATCAAAGAAAAAATGATTATATTAGTATAGATAAGGTACTGGGAGAAAGTCTTCGTTCAACAGTGGACGGCAATAGGCTGAAGAGAAGAAGGTACTCAATGAAATTCGCCATGCTTTAATACCAGGCTTTGTAATGCATTGTGGCATTACAAGTTACATGTGTGTGCAACTGAAAATATATGTAGCGACTAAGTAAAACCAGTCTCAGTATTGATGCAGTTAAAGTTCCATAGGAATCAATATAACGCAAGTGTAGTGGCAGGCAATCAAAACGTTGTTCGAAATGAGCGCGTTTTACGCCGCCGCAGCCCCCGGCCCACAATTACGACATTAAAATTATTATTTTATTTTCATTTTTATTTATTATTCGCATTATTATATTGTGTGGAGTTATTATCGGTGAAATGTTTCGTTCGGATAAACGTTCGCGTCGGAACGACACGCAAGCCCTCCACAGCGACTCACCTCAGGGTTCCGTGTATTATATCAATTAATGTACTCAAATTTATTGTTCTCGATCAATTCTTATGTTATGTTTAGAGTTTACTTACACTTTAGCTGAAGAATATCGCTAAGTTATATGTGTATCGACATACATGCAGTTAAGATGGATGCTTTTGTTGTCATTTCTCTAGAAATTTTGTGGTCTAATTCGAGTAGTATGATAAATCGACGTCTAAAAATTCGTTGATTTGTAAATCGGTATGTTTAATTTCCTTTTGACGATTAAAGGGATATGCTAATTATTCGTAGACTAAACGGGAAGGGTAACTTTTTACCATTAATTAATATCATTGCAGAACTTAGTCGTAGAAGAATATAGCTTAAAAGATATTAGTTAAAGTATCTCTAGGATGAGTACTATCCTTCATCTAAATTTAAATACATACATAATGCAGGTTACATGGATCTACTACGCAGACCCCTCATCTACAGAATGCATCTGAATCTGCATCTACTACAGAACCCTATGATAACATCAATCGTTCCCGTATCCACACCCTGTCATTTCATTCGACTTTTCTTTCTCATGGTTCCAGACTGCTACTGGATTCCTTCTACCTTTTTATTACTTTTTAAGGTGACCGCAATTTTATTTAAACGTTATATCAATAAAATGAGCCACTTAAGGCGTTTTTAAGTTCATTTACCTTCAAAGC